AATGGTCTTTGCCCTTTCCTTGCCCACGAGGACGGGCAAAAACTGCCTCAGCGAGGATCTTCGGTTTCCAGCGTGTTTTGGGGGAAGGTTCACGGCCGCGGCCGAGACCTGGCTAAAGGGTTTGTTCCTATATCTGGCTCGAAAAACCCGCTTGCTTTGGCACTGAAACATTCCTTAGCATTCAACTTCATGGCCGCAGGGCACAGGCCGTTCCGACATCATGCGGCTCGCAGGCGTGGCTTCAAAGGGCGCAGGGCCAGCGGGTGTTAACAGCTACGGGATCACACATTTAGTTAGTTTCAACATGGAGAACTGTCCAGGGATTCGGTGTCGGTCATCAGAACTGCGCTCTTCGGTGGAGGCTCCGGACGCAGACGTCCCAGGCCCCGTGAAGACTTTAAAGTGGACGGGAGTAGTTTACTAAGGAGTTATGTAGGCCTACAGCCCTTTTCGTCCGGGACTGGTGTCATCTTGTTCCGACAGAGCAGGATTTGGGGCTGCCTACCAAGAAAACTTGGCAGTGCTTCAGTCTCGACTACGGGCATGACCGAAAAGTTCAAACATCTGCGAAAACGAATCCCCTCATCTTCAGAGGTAACTTCAGAAGCGGGAGCCTGTGACAGGTGTAGACGTCAAGATTCGTAAGTTCAGGAAAGCAGCAGAACATTCCATGGGCCTGTGGCAAGCAACTCCATGGATGCCCATTCTGGATCCAAGCCCGCACTATTGCCTGCAGGGAGGCAACAACCAACTTCTGTGAAGTTGAAGGGTCACAGCAGAAGACAACGACAACGAGATTAACCTATATATTATTGAGTCCAAATCCAATCTCGACATCACCTAAGACCAAAGCCCCAAATCATACCCCACGTGGAGAATGCAGGACCTCTCCTTTCTCCGGGGTACTGGTACCAGTTCAGCTCCGAAAGACTCAAAGGTTTCAGGCTGACAGTGTAGGGCGTGTAGGGCAGTGTAGGGGCTCATGGGTTTTCGAGAAAGGGCAGAGAGGCGAAGGCCTCGGTCCCAGATAGTCCCAGATAGCAAAGATTTCAGTTTGTCACGTACACGTAGGGTTTGGGGCTGTGCCTGGTTCAACGATGTACAGTCAAGCCTGAAGGAACTCACATCTTGCGGCTGGTGCAGTATTGTACAAAATTAATGCCATGGGAAGCCTGTGCCTTTGCTATTAAGGGTTACGGCGCAGACAGCAAAGTCTCGGTGCTCAGAATGGGTAGTCCTTTCGAACATCGAGCGCCGAATTCAAGACAAGTGATGCAGATTCCCTGCGAGAAAGTGTCCAGGCCTTCTAGCTCCAGGAAAGAATGCATGACATGGAGCCACAACACTCTCATGCCATATCCGGTGGATATGGCAGCTCCATCACGCACCAGCGCCAAAGTGACAATCAAGGTGCTCCACAAAAGTCTTCCACATGGGTCCGTCATGCGTGGCCAGTCTTGGAGATTAACCTCGTCCAATAATCCCGCTGCCACCAACTGGGCAGCTTGCTTGAGGACCTTTGGTGTTGAGTGCAGTCGCGAGATCTGCCAGTCAAGCAGCTCACCGTCGAACTTGTGCAGGTAATGCAAACTCTTCTCACCACATAACTGACCCATGTCCGCTCGCACCTTCGTGGTCTCTCGGTGCATACGTGACCACTTCGCAACCAAGTCAAAAAGAGGCCAAGAGGTCCGAAGCAAGTTCTCCCAGGGCATGCTCAGGGCTGACCAGGGAATCTCGCGGCAGCCAGGGGCATAGAGGCAGGACCTCGAACCAGCGGATAGGTTCACTCCCTAAATGTTCATCTGACGAATGCGCTGCCCTTGTGGTGATTCAGCTAGAACCTGCAACATACAAGCAAGACCCATCCTTTCCAGTGCCTGACCGGCAACCGGTATTTCAGCAGTGGAGCCGGTCTTAACATCGGTCTTTCAAAGTCGACAGACAAACCTCAACCCTCTAAGGAAGCAGCAGGCAGAGAGCTTGGTAGACGAGGCACGCAACTGTGATGGAAAACCTTTCCGCAACGCAGAGGACCGAATTGCAGTCCTCTGGCTCCTGAGTGGCTGCGTGATGAAGTCATGGGGTCCAGAAGAGGATCTAAACTCCGTCAAACAATATGATCAAGGCCGGCCCGGCCCCCAGCATCCCTGTGAGCCGAAGGTGCGCATCCGAAGTCCACCCCGCCGCGTAGCTCTTCCATGAGCTGTCGGTCCTCCGAAGCAGGGGTCGGAAACTGAAGAAAGGTTCTTGCTGCACTGTTGTCATGGTCACGGATTCGGCTTAGTTAACAGGCTTGGGCTCAGGTGTAATTGGGTCTAGCTAGGGCATCAGCTCACCCTTCCCTACGGTAACTGTTGCACTGTTTATAGTTTCAGTTCTGATGACTGGGAACTTTTGAGGAGTTGAAACTACCTGACCTGAAGCACCTGAAGGACTGGTTCTTCAGGGACAAGAACCTCCAAAAGTTCCCAAAACTATGCTCCTCCACAACCCCGCCTTCCCCCGAGTTGTTGGCTTGGAATTTTTTTGGATCTGGGTGTTCCGTTTCGCTAAGGGCTTGGAGGTCAACGCCTTGGGTATGGGCACAAGGTTGCAGATAGGGGATGCGAACCTGCAAAAGCTTGCGTGCAATCTGAGCGACTCCAGCCCCAATGCTGAAGTTCTGTGCAGTTTTTCCGGGCCGTGCAGCATAAACTCAAAACTCGCTACACCCCGCTGCTCACTCCCTTACGCCTTACGCACATCACTGACAGCCTGGTCCGTCTCCAGTGTTCCCCGAAGCCAATTGGTGACCTGGAGGCTTCTGAGCCGACGTTGACAGCACATCGGGTTCAGTGCAGGCTCTCTTTCTCGCTCGACGGAGTGCCGCTGACCAGGCCCGCAAGAGCCAGAGCCACCCAAAGAGCTTGAGCTTTATAGGGCTTCAGCAACACCAGGCATTTCATCCCACCGAACCCTGGAGCTGCAGCCCTCGCCAAGACAGAGTTCCATGCATTTCAAAGGACTCCGAGTGGCATGGCTAGATCAACACGGCCGTTCTCAAAACGTTGTGTTGAAGTGTTTTTTTCTTAAACCTCAACTGCGAAAATCCAATCCGCCAGCCCCTGGCACTCCAGCCCGAACACCCCCTCAATACAAGTGTTACCAGAAGGCGGGTTCCAGAAAGATGCTGGCGCTGTATATGCGCTTGCTTGGCCTTGGCAGTCTTCAAAGCGACATGTCTGGGTCCATGGTTTAGGCTTTCGGGCCGGGACTTAGGGCTGTGTTTGGGCCTCAGCAGGGTTGGCAGTAGATGGGCCGGAGGACCAACAGCCCAAACCTTGAAGGCGCACAGCTGCTGTACTTCAAGCTCTGCTTAGCTCTGTAAGACCTTGTACGCACGAAGCCCAAAACCCAGAATCTACCGCTCTGTTGTACTTGCGGAGCGGGCGCGACAGCACCTGCGAGCAGCCATCCGGGGAAGCCGCCGCCTCCCGTCCCGGATTCTGGGCTTTTGGGGATTTCCAGAGCAGGGAGGTCTTGGCCCCCATGAAAACGGCTTGCAGCGAGCAGGAAAATCCTTGCTGGCATCTGGATTCCCACGGCACCCGAGCCCAACCCAAACTTTAAGCTTCTGGCAGGTCTATAGATACCGCCATACCAAAGGCCTGAAAGGTCCGAAGTTTGACCTTGGAATGTCTTAGGCACATGACATTGTCAAGACGTGAGGTTCCCATAAGTATTCGTCAAAGTGCACCTACATAGAGAGACTGCAGCTGCTTGCGGGGCAAAGCTCCATCCATCCCGTCAGTCTCAGAAACTCCGACTTGGCCGGTTTGTAATGTTGCCATAGCTGTAACGTGGTGCGCTTAGGCTTGGCGGATCTGGCCGCCTGCGCATGTGGAAGTCTCCATTGCGCAGCCAGCACACAAAGGACGCACAGCATGGCTGACTTCCACTTGCCCCGTTTTCCTCGCCTGTGGCCTAGAAATAAAGGCTAGGCCTAGGTGGATGGAGGCCCGACGACTTGGGCCAGAGGCTATTGACAGTCTAGAACAAACAAGTCTGCTCGGATTTCCGCAGCTGCTTGCTGAGGGTCAACGAAACAACATGCCAAGCTGCGCAGCTCCTCGGGCAACCGTTGGGTAAGAGTGGTTGAGGGGGTATTTCTTTGCGACATGTCGTTTCTGGCGGTCATTCCCAATAAAAGAATCTAGGGCTTCAAGGCTGGATGCTTATCTTGAACATTGAGAGAGATGCTCATGGGTCACTGGGTCTGCGAGCAATAAACAGCCAGGACGACGAAAAAAGAGCAAAGCGAGGCATCAACAAGCTATTAGCCTTCGAGATTTCTGCTCCCAGCATCCCTAGAATCACAAGCCCCGAATCTGTGATCCCACACCTCAGACTCGACCTATGCACCTGTCTCACTGCGGCGCTGAGAGCAATGCCCGTCCGAGAACATCCAGGCTATAGCTGTAGTCCTGGCATGGGGTGCTTTGGGAGCTTGGAGGCCTCTAGCAGACTGAGGGCATCCGACTGACCAGTGACAGCCACTGGACAGCCCCACGGGGCACCGTGAAACCCAAAAGGCACAATCTCGCAAGCCACACCCAGTACCGGCCAGGTTGTCCCTTCAGGGGAACTTTCGCCAGCTCATCGCACCTTGCTTCCGGTTCTGCGTTGCAGGGTGTTGTGGTTGTTTTTTGGGCCTATGGCATATGGAGACACAGCCTTCCGGGACCTTGTTGGGTGTCTATGGCCTCCTAGCATACGGGCCCTCACTGCTGAGGATGCTAGCTGCGATCCTGTCCAGGTCTACAGCGCTTATTCCACCTGGAGACATTGAAGGCCGCTTGTCAACAATGGGCAACTGCAAATGCTCTCGTAGGGTTGAGGTCCAAGTATACCGGGCATCAGAGTCATATTGCAAAAGTCTCAGAGTCCATTTTCTGCCCAGACTTCTACTTAGGGCCTGCAAGCCGGAACATCCAGCGACCAAAACTTAGCAACTAAGGTAACTAAGGTCGGGACCACTGCTCCAAGCTGGTGATGGTCCCACCTTGGTCCCGGTCTAGAGGAACCACCAAAGACTTGCCAAACCATCGCCCTAAACCCCAAGAACCATGGCACCGGAAAGCCTCGCAGCCTTCTCCCTGTTCCACGAAGAGCTCTGAGGCATCAGCCTTTGGTTCGCTCCGAGAGATCCTCGTAGATCTTGTAGTAGGATCCTCCCATCCGGGGCTAAAAGTTTAACCTCCAATGTTTGACAGAACTCTCTATGAGCTGTGGGCGTCTTGGATTTGAGGGGGTTGCATAAACCTGGAAGGTTTCTAGCTTGCTCGAACTCGCTTAGCTGAGAAAGTCGCGCCGCAGGGAAATGTCCGAACTGAAGACATAGTAGGCTAGGTCCTTAAGGTGAACACTTGCATTCTAAATACAATGAACAGCGCGGGCACAGGTTCTTGCCAAGCCAAACCTCGGAGTGCATCCTGCAACCCCAACCCCCGACGCCTTTCTCAGGGGGCCACGGATCGTCCAGAGTGGCGCCATAGCCAATGCCTGATGTGGCGTGAGGCTTGTTGCAAGGCTCGAAACCGGTTGGCGGCTTGCTGCTTTTAGGACTGGCTAGAGTAAGTTACTTGGTGTGCTCGCCGGCTGTGGCATCAGCGCGGCCGCGACTTCGACATGCCAAGATCCGAAAGAGGCTGGTAAGGAGAGGTCCAAAACAGCAAGCCAGAACCCACCCAGAAGCGTTCAGCGATGCCATGGAACTCTGGGGCATGAACGTAAAGCTTCTGGCACGGGCCGTTCGTTGAAAGAAGTCTCCTTTGCAAGCCCTCCTTGAATGTTCGCAAACTCGTGTGCTGCTACTGTTTATGCTGGCCAGCACGGAAACCACATCCCCTCAGAACGTCGAAGTATCTGAGAGGAGGGAATGTTGCTGAGGCAACCAAGAGCGGCCCAAAGCGCACGGAGCCGCAGACCTGGAAGCCCTGAGCCCCCAAACCCACTTATTTGCAGCCTCTCTGACACCCCTTTTGCAGCAGGCCTCCTTGACACCCCTAAACCTTGAATCTCCAAGCCTGAGGTGTGTGTCATCAGCTGGCGCAGCGTGATGGCCTGCGCTGGAGTGTTGGGATGATCCCAGAACGAAGATGGATCTAAAAGTTTCAGCCCTTCCGAATTTGGGGCCTCATATGGGAGTTTCCGAAAAGTAGGGGTGCCTTATTTTAGGGTCCTTATAATGAGGATCCTACTATTTTCGGCGCTCTATTAGGGTCCCCTATTTTCGGAAACTCCCATATGGACGCGATGCATTTCGGGTGCTTGGACCCAAACCAGCCGAAGCTGAGAGCTGTGCTCAATGGATTGCTTTGAGAGGTTCAGTGGGCCGATCAAACAGACAACGGTTTAGAGGACAAAGCAAAGGTTCCATGTAGAAGAAGGTGCTGAAGGAGCACCACCGGAGCAGCTTTTTCCTTTCGTTTATATGCACTAAGTCAAGCCAGTGTTGCCTGTGTCTTTCAACGTTTAAGCTCAGCCCCTTCGATCACGCAACAGTACTCCGGTTCGAAGGCATGACTTCTTGGATTTGGGGTCATGGCTCCCCCACACTCAACACCAACACACCAATCAGCAGTGAGTGCTAAGGTGGATCAAAGATAAGCTTTTGCTCATCTCCGGCCTGCCGTTGCATGACCCTGCTAGGACTAGGAGGAATCGGGAAAGCGTGGGCCTTCACGTCTTCGGCCTGAAGTCCTGAACGTTGCAAGAAAGGAACAACCTGGACATCAAAGCCTTGAGCCCATCAAAGACTGCTTGCCATGGCCTTGTCGCAGGGCTGATTCTCCTGACAGAAGACTTGGTTTCGTTAGGGTTTGCAGCTTGAGGCCGGGGGTACTTTTAGGGCTGAGGGGGGCTCAAGGGCTTAAAGTAAAAGCCAGAAAGTTGGAATATGATTATCCTAAACCCTTTATAGTAAATTACAGGGTATCCTACCCTGAAACCATATTCCAACTTTCTGGAGTTCCCTTTAAGGAGTCTCAGCAAGCTTTAGAGTGGGACTACCCGAAAGGGCGGAGGGTTTCAGGACAGAGGATGGTTACTACTCACAGAGATCGTGATGCAAAATTCACGAGCATGGCTGAGGGAATCGAAGCATGGTTTCGGCGCTCACAGTCGGACAAGCAGGCGAGGTTGTTGGTTCGTGGTGCGGATTTTCCCTCCTACCTTCAACGGACAAGCCTGCATGCAGGGTACCTTCGAAGTACGGCTGGCAGAAGCTTTGCAGTCTATGGTTTCGGCGCTCACGCTCGACCAATCTAGGCGAGGCACATGGTTTGAGGCCAGCTGAGTGAGACTGAACTAATCTGGGAGTGAGTGATTCAACTATCCGGATACTGAAGATTTAGCTGTGCACTCTACAAACGTCCTTGTATATCACTTCCTCCCGTCTCAAGATTCTTTCAAGTCTGTGTCCACTAAGTATAGATTCCGAAGGACCTTGAGGACTACAGACGGCAGATCACATCAGGGAAGAGGGAATGACTGACGGCCCTAGAAGATGTAACAGCCGGAGCGGCCTAGATATGGTGTGATCTGTGTGCAAATCCGCTCGATTTCCACTGGACATTATGACCACTCCAACGGGTGGTAAGGGTTACACTTGCAGAACAATCACATTGTGAAGGGCGGGAGTGCCCTTGGGAAGTGGAGTGGTCCCTCTAGGATCTTCTTGACCCCGTTACAACTCTACTTGAATACTATCTCAAGCATGATTCTATGGCTTAATGTTTAGAGTTTGTGTAATCTGAAGAAGCAGAGGGTACTCCTTCTGCCCCCTCTTCGGCAGCACCACCATGTTGGCAAAGGAAGGGATGTACCTCCACTGTCAGTACGTCTGCTACAACCCGAAGGACATCCCGTGCTCTTTGCCGTCGGAAGGTTGGTTGATGCCCTGCTACAATCACCAGAGCACCCCGTTCGACACGGGAACAAAGAGATCTCTAGGAGCCTCTTGACTAGGGCTAACAGTAACAGCTTTTTCGTTTCATAAGTTTGGTCGTAGATCTCACACTGCTCGGATACCACATCGTAAAATTAGACAAGCTGGGGTTGCAGGCTTCAGCGACCTTCGACCTAAAGAGAACCATGCACCTCCCAAAGACCCCCTCACACACACACACACCCACAGACAGACGCCTATAATACACCCTGAGACTCAAGAGTTCAAGCCGGAAGCAGGGATCGTATTACCAGAAAAAGTATCTGAACCCCCCTCTCAAAAAGTAGGAAGACCAGGAAAAGGCTTTTTTGCCCCGCGTCGCTTTGGACGGATGCCTCGGAAACGGGGTGAGGGCTTACCGTTTGAGTCAAACGGTTTGAGGTTTCAGCGCTCGCTATGCATTTTGGAGCTTGTAGATGTTGGTCGCAGCTCAGAGCTCAAGGCTCACTTCAGACGCAAGCACAGTAATAATAATAGTGAACTCCAGCCCAGGGATGGCCAAGTATGTTCTGCTGTCAAACCCACGACCACATCGAACTGGACATCATAACAGCTAGGAAAGACATCCCACCTTGAACGATGCTTGAACCACAAGCCTTGCACTCCAAACCCACAAGGGTGCTAGGCACAGATATGCTGTTGGGAGTCATTGCCTTCTGTTCTGACTGCCGCAATGGGCCTGTTCATTGGTGTTCTGTTAAATCTTGCGCGATGATAAGTAATGATAGCCACAGTAGGGGTTCGGATAAGACTGAGTTGTGGCGGTGTCGTGGCGCAAGGAGAAGTACGGATCTCGCATGTTTTCAGGCTGCAAGGTGGATGGTTTTGGCGTTCAATTTCCAAAGGTCGAGGGTTCCTGTGTTGCACATCACACAGCCGAGTGACTGGACAAGGCCGAGGAACCAGGCTGCAGGCTATCAGCGGCCTTGGCTCACGGACGCGGTGTCAAAAACAGGACATGATTCATCAGTACAAATCCTACGGCGAAACCGACGACGATATTTCCTGACGAGGAGAACAACGGCGAAGATTGGTGAAGACGATTATTGCTACTTCAGAGCGACGACTGCCACCATTGAAGCTGCACGGCCTCCTCCTTCCACTAGCAGCACGGATAAGGAAAGCATTGCCACGATAACAGTAGCAGTAGCAGTGGCGGCAGCAGTAGCAGTAGCAGTAGCAGTAGCAGTAGCAGTAGCAGTAGCAGTAGCAGTAGCAGTAGCAGTAGCAGTAGCAGTAGGAGGAGTAGGAGTAGGAGTAGGAGTAGGAGTAGGAGTAGGAGTAGGAGTAGGAGTAGGAGTAGGAGTACAGTAGCCGCCGGAAAGTTGGAAGGCGGCAATTGGAACGGTTGATGCGGCAACGGCATCTTCCAACTTTGGGTTTGGCTTGGTCCCATCTTCCAACTTTAGGTCCCGGCGTTTGGACCTTGCGGGAAGCAGCTACCGTAATGCAGAGAGAGAAACTGCAATTACTTCGACCGCTCCAGTAGTGCTAAGAGAGGGAAACGGCAATTACTACGACCACTCCAATATTGCAGAGAGAGAGAGAGAGAGAGGGAGGGAGAGAAACTGCAAGTACTACGACCGCTCCAGTATTGCAGAAAGAGAGAACCTGCAATTACGACGACCGCTCCAGTATTGCAGAGAGAGAGAGAGAGAAACTGCAAATATTACGACCACTGCAGTATTGCAGAGAGAGAAAAGCTGCAAATACTACGACCGCTCCAGTAGTGAACAGAGAGAAAAACTGCAAATACTACGACCACTCCAATTTTGCAGAGAGAGAGAAAGAAAACTGCAATTCCTGTGTCCAGTGTTGTGCAATTACTACGACCGCTCCAATATTGCAGAAAGAGAGAAGCTGCAAATACCATGGCCGCTCTAGTATTGCAGAGGGAGAGAAACTGGATTTATTCCAGTATTGTAGAGAGAGAGAGAGAGAGAGAGAGAGAGACGGAGAAGCTGCAATTAAATATTGGGTCTGCTTGGTCCCATCTTCCAACTTTAGGTCCCGGCATTTGGAGCGGTTCATGCGGTACTCAAAAGTTGGAAGGTTGCAAACTTGGAAGAATCCAAAGTTGGAAGATGTGTTTTATTCCAATTGCGGGGTGCTGAAATTTTGGGTGCGCATCTTCCAACTTTGCGGCTGCCACCATAGGAGTAGGAGTAGGAGTAGGAGTAGTAGTAGTAGTAGTAGTAGTAGTAGTAGTAGTAGTAGTAGGAGTAGTAGTACTATTACTAGCAATCGTACTTTACTAGTAGTGGTGGTAGTAGAAGCAGTAGCTGCAGTAGTAAGAGTAGTAGGAGTGGCAGTAGCCTCAGGACCCAGTAGGACCAGTAGGAGTAGTAGTCACTTTGCAGTGTTGTCGTCATCGTGGGGGTGGTCGGGTGGTGGTAGCAGGAACTGCAGCAACATCATCGAAAACGACCGTACCAGACAGGTGAGTGCCGTTCCTGCAGAGCAGCTACCCTACGCCACTTTGCGCGCCATTTGCTCCAGGTGTGTTGCTACGTCGCAGTGAACTCCACGCTGCTGCCATGTGACTGCAGGTCTCAGGCTGGATGAAGTCAGCGAGTGTAGCGTACGTAAATCTCTTCTCGTTTTTTCAATCCACGAGCATAGAAAGGGCGGTGCACATATATCACAGGCACCCAATCGACGCCGGAGTTGCGGAAGGCCCACAATCGCCGGTTGTTTCGGCTGAAGAGGGAGCTGCCAATCCTGAAGACTTGAACAAGTGGGAAATCGGTGATGTGGAGGCTGCCCTGATTGAGACCTTGGGCTGCGTCGTATATAGATCTCCCATCTGAGAAAGTGGAAGCGATGGACTCGTTGGAGTAGAAGATCTCTTGAGGTCGCAAGGTGTCATGGCATTGCATCATGCGAGTAAATTGAGAGCATTCGCCGCAATCCCAGTACGCAGCTCCTCCATTGTATTGCAAGTAAAAGCGATCGTCATAAGATGAAAGGCACACCGCATCAAACGTCTCAATGCTGGCATGAGTATCGGGGACGGTCCTTGTCTTGAGCATTGTATCCAACAGTTCGGGGACACCATGCGACCAAACGGGGCCTGACTTGAAAATGGCACAGTAAGTGTTCTCCCTGCCCAAGCTTACTGATACAAGGTCCCGCCTTTCTTGCAGCTTTACTTCCAACCTTTTCGGGATGTTGTTCCAGCGCAGCTCTCCTGCTGCTGATTCAAGAATGTAGCTGTCGCTCCCGAAGGATATCCAGCTCACGCCCTCCGTCTCAATCAATTCTACCAGTTTCGACGGCAGCTTGTGCTCGCAGCTGCCATCAGAATAGAGCACATAGTGCTGGTCCAAACCGCAGAATGCCAGGTAATCGACCTGCTTCTTATTTGAGCAAAATTTCTCAGCGGCTTCACCTTTCCAAAAGGGGCAGAGGACGGAACTGCACGGAACAACCATGTACGATCCGTTCGGGCCAAAAGCTAAGCATTTCAAGCCATCTTTGTCAGTAGGATCTTCGGATGTCCAGTGACTCGGGAAACCAGCCCGCAGATTTGTTCGCCTTTTGCCACTCCGTTTTCGTGGGGACCACCTGGAAATAGATTGCCAAGCCCAGCGCGGCAAGCGAGATTTCAAGCCAAACTTGTCCATCCCAACACGAGATCGAGGCCGGTGGGCTTGGTAGCGTGGGCGGGCCATGGCAAGATGACGTTTCGATCCGCCCAGGCCTGGAAGCCCAGGCCTGGCAGTCCTGGCAACTAACGGGCGTCTACACTAGGCTCCGTTCGATACGTCGTACACCTCAAACTACTTCAAATCCGAATCGAAAGACCCGGACCCTGACCTGGTGCAAGGTCTTGATGGGGAATTCACCGCGGCTTCATGTTGGGATCCCTGGACCCCGTCAAGCCGTTAGCATCCAATCGGAAGCCTTCAGGTGCCAAACAAAGACAAGGTGTTGAGGATTCGATCCCGGCATGCAATTGGAGGCAAAAAGTTGCGAGGCCCTCAAATTCAAATGTCTTATTCATCCACGAAGCCTTTTCCAACCGAGAGCTCCGTCGCTGGGTCGGTCTGATGAAGGCATACCCTTTGACCCAAAACGCCCACTATAATATTCAGCCGTCATGCACGAAAACCTCACACTGCCGAAACTGAGAGTATGCGGAATCGTCTGGGGGCTTTAGATCTACCTCGGCTTCGATAGCAGTACACCACACCAGGTCTCTGACCATCCGTCGAAGGAGCTCCTCCGACCACCGCTCCCGGTCCGGGTTCTCCCTGCCGGCTGCAAACCTCAAGTCTCAATGGTTAGTAGCCCTAACGGGTAGGCAAAGGAAGCGGGGTTCAAGGCTTAGGATTCCGGGTTTCGAGTGAAGCCCTTCGAGCCTGAGGCTTCTACAAAGGTGTACAAAGGAGCATGCGCAGAAGATCCCGGACGCAGCTTGATATACGAGCTGAACCTCGAAACTGAAAGCCTTCGTGTCCTGCTGTGGAAAGTAGACAAATTGTACACACATTTATAAATATACGCACGTGTATATGTATATATAAATTACGTATGAACTCCTTTTGTCGCCCTAATCGCTCGAGCCAGGCGCAGGCGTTAGGCCTCTCATGGCCTTGGTCATGCCGGAATGGGCTTCAGGACACGGAGCTCGGGTGCTTGGGTCAGGGCTTCAGAGGTAATCGCAGTAGTCATCGCCGTCGCAGAAGTCGAAGTCTGGTAGTGGTGGTGGTGGTGGTGGTGGCACTTGTAGTGAGTAGTAGGTAGTAGTGCTCGTAGCAGGGAATAGGTTTTTAGTGAAGTTTAGTGGTAGTGGACGCAGTCGTGGCCGTCCCAACATTGGCAGGAATGGTGGTAGTTTTCGTCGTCCTCGTCGTGACGCGGTAGTGGTAGTGGTAGCGGTAGCAGTAGCGGTGACGGTCGTCACGGTGCTGGTGGTGATGGTGGTGGTCGTGGTGCCGGTTTTAGTAAGCAGTGTTAGCAGGTAGTAGGTACTGGTATTCGTAGCATTAGTCGTCGCCGTCGTAACATTATTTCTCTTCTTCTTGTGCTTCTTGCTCTAGTAGCAGTAGCAGTCGCAGTCCCTAAGAGGAGGAGGCAAACGAGCAGGAGCAGGAGTAGTAGTAGTAGTAGTAGTAGTAGTAGTAGTAGTAGTAGTAGTAGTAGTAGTAGTGGTAGTGGTAGTAGTAGTAGTAGTAGTAGTAGTCGTAGTCGTAGTCGTAGTCGTAGTCGTAGTGGTAGTGGTAGTGGTAGTGGTAGTGGTAGTGGTAGTGGGAGTGGGAGTGGGAGTGGGAGTGGCAGTAGAAGGAGCAGTGACAGGAGGAGCAGCAGCAGTGGTAGTTTTGTAGTAGTCGTCGTCGTAGTAGCATTAGCAGCAGTGGCAGGAGTAGATGCGGCCGCAGAAGTAACATCAGCACCAGTACTAGTTATAGGTTATAGTAATCCTCACAAATCTACACATCTGATTATATTGAAAGCATGCTATTGACAACAAAGATCCGGATAACGCAAGTAATCAAGCCGAGCCCGGCAAGGGCCCTGAAGCCCACTTTGGAGCAAACACGTCTCTGGACGACTGGCTGCATCGCAGCATGGCTCCGAGCAAAATGCGCCTATCGCGGATGGGGATCTATATCAACTTTCGCAATTTTGATTCTCCCGCTTATGAGTTTAATAAAGGTTCGACATCCACAGCTGGTGAGAGTGCATAAATACTGGCGCCGGCATGAAGCGGTCCAGATTTGTCTGCGGAGCCCTTGCCACAGAAATCCTGGCCGTGGGCTGAATTTGTACATGTCTCTTTCTCAGGCTTGCCGGCGGCTGTACACCAAGTAGATTTCAAGAAGCCTCAGATGACCTCAACACTCAAACACTTTGTGGGCTAGTACGGGCACTTGGTTGCCTCCTCTTCTTGCCGATGACCTGCAGCAGGCGAACCATGCTCCTGAGCACCAGGCCTTTGCCGGGACATTCTCGCGGTCCCAGCCCGTTTACGGCGTTGAAGCCGGTGTGGTTCTCTATGAGGCCATGGCGCTTATGGTTAAAGTCCAATGCATCCGTACCCCAGACGATGGGATCGATGTTGGCCAGAAAGAATGGAATGGCCACTTTGGTGCCTGCAGGAAAGCTGTATGTTCGGCCTGCAATGTCGCAGGAGAACGGCTCGGTGGCAACACGGTGGGAGACCGTGACGGGCGGAGAGAGGCGAGCAACCTCGAGGATGTACCTGAGAACTTCATCTTCGTCCTCCAGGTCCAGGGAATCCCAAACGGTGCGGGCATCGATTAGGAGGTTTCCATGCTGGGTGCCAGAAGTACAAAGCCAAGTGAACATGCGAGAGCCCTGGACGCCGGCGATCCGTATGATGCTTGACATGAGCAGGGCCAGCTCTTTGGCAGTCATGTTGTTGTACTCGGGCTTGACCTGGCCAGTGTGAGACCCTCCTACATGGGAACATGGTCTTGCCTTGGCTTTGCCCGACTTTCCTCTTCTCGCCTCGAAGTTGCTGAATGCCGGGGACTTCTCGTAGAGCTCTGCGACCTTAGCGATCTTCTCGTGCTGGGAGAAGAGATGGCCCATGGGGTCCAGATAGTGCATCAAGCTGAACTGCCCTGCATAGAAAGCATTGAGCGTGGCCATCACCTCCTTATCATCGATGTCCAACCCAAAGAGTACATGATGAAGATACTTGGTCCAGAATTCCTGGTTCCCACCATCTGCTCCGTTGTAGAAGTCGAAACCGGTGTCTTGCTTCATGAAGTCTTCGGCACACTGCTCCAAAAGTCGCTGGCACATCTCATCGGACTCCCTCGCCACGGAGGCCTCGTTCAAGACGGTGTCTATTACACACTGGCGGAAGGCCTCGTGGTCCCCGGTACCCCCCACAGCCTTGCCGGAGAGGCTCAGCAGGAAGACGCAGCGACCAGACTCCCCCCGAGGCAAGTTGCTTGGCAGCAAGGGGTGTTCGCCCAGCCAGAAAGTTCGGCCTTGGGGATTCTGCACGGCCTTGGTGACATCAGCATGGCTGCCTAGCCACACCTGCCCAGAGGCACAGAAGTTCTTACCCCACTTCCCATAGACGATCATGGAGATGTAGGTGCTGCCAGCTGTGAGGCTGTCTATGACCTCCACCGGTGGCAGGAGGAGGCGAGCCAGGAAGTTCCAGGGCCTCTGCAGGGCCCACAGCTGGAAGTGATTCTTGAAGAAGAGGAGGATGATCGCCTCTGGCAGTTTTCAGTTGTTTATAGGATTCAGAAGTCAAGGCTTCGCAGGGGGCTGCGGACTGTAGTTTTCTGCGCTCGGAAGCCTCGACGAGAAGGTAAAGAAGAATGAGGCCACCGATGACGCTTGACACGTACCATGCTCCGAAGATGCTGGGGAGCACCAGGCCAGCGGCGAGTGCTGGCACCACGCCCAGCCAAAACACCTTCCAAGAGACCAAAGGTCCTCCCAGGCCAACTCAGCATAAAGCCTACAATGAAAGCTGTAGTACATGATATGTGCATGTATGTACGTATGCATGTACATGCAAACATGCATGTGTGTATATATGTATATATGTGTGTGTGTGTATGTATGTACGTATGTATACATGCATAATCATTCATATATATATATATGCATAGGTATCTAACTTACATACATACATACATACATACATACATACATACATGCAGTACAATACAATACACTACTGTACATGCATGGACAGTCATTGGCAAGGCTGGCCCGCGGGTGTCCCTATATATACATATATATATATACATACATACATATATGCATGCATGCATGCATATATATATATACACATAAAAATGTATGTGTATGTGTGCACATATACATACAAACATACACACGTACATACATACATATATATATATATACATACAGAGAAAGACAGACACACGATTCAGCATTGAATGCAGAATGTTTAGAATTAGGGAGTGCAGAGGCCCATGCCAGCGCTACACTTCCAAACGCGAGCTCCAAGCACCGGCCGCTGAACTGCATGCTCCCAAACACAGCACAGAAACTTGAAGGCGCCTCCCAGCACTGGAGTAGTTTGCGACATGCTGGAAGCAGGCATCATGGCTTTACCACTCAGAAATCTCGCAATGTCTTGAACGCTGAAGACTGCAAAGCATATGACAATACATGTCAAGACATTTTCTCATGCCGCTTTTGAGCCAAATGTCCCTAGGAGCAAGGCTTGGGCTGCAGGTCATGTTTAGGCACATCGAGTCCTGCAAATGATTTGCCACCAATGCAAACCCTGGGAACATAGGTATCGCCCGAACAAAGGCTTCTGGGATCCTTACTGTGGCGCCGTCTGCCCGACATGTAGTTATGGGGTCTCTTTGCCCCCACCCCTTCACCAAAAGGCACACACACACAAACGCACACCATAACCTTGACGGTGGTACACTCTACTTTGTTGAAGCCCGGTGCCGGTGCCCAAACCCCGAGCCGAGCACGGCTCCAAGGACCTCTGCCGGGCAGCGTCTTGAGAAGCTGCTGGTACAAACGTCCGTCGGGCTGCACGGACTGTTCCTCCATTCGAAGCATTTGTAGGGTTCTTGCTGGGTTTGTTCATTGGAGTGCTCTTTCTGGGAACGAAACCTCAAAACACTACTTCCTCTATGGAAGCCGGGAAGTAGTCAGGGCTTGCAGGGTTGCACGAAGCAGTGGTTTCAGCTTGTTTGAGCTGCTGTCTCGCTGAAGGTGCAAGTGCATCAATTTTTCAATCAAACAGTAGGGCTTGAAGTCCTAGATACTCTGCAGAGAGTGGCTCTTGGCAACTAAAGTCTAGCGATTTGGGCTTTTAAGGCGGCCCGTAGGGCCGTAGGGGTCTACAAAGACCCATCATCCAATCGGTTCAACTGTGCTTGGCCCCGGCCTGCATCTGGTCCAAGGCGCGGAGCGCTTGCTCCACCTTCGGGTTATCGGGTTCTAAAAGCACTTCTATAAGGCCCTCTAGGGGCTGTAGGGGTTTAGGGAAATCCGTAAGGAGAAGGGCCCGTGGAATCAAGCGCCCGACCCTGAACTTCTCCAAGGCTTGCACATCTGAACTGAAGAGTTTCCGTCATGGGTCCCGGTCGGAACCTAAAAGGGATGTTCAGGTGTCGTTCTCGAGTGTATGTAAGCACCAACTCTTGATACTCCGTTCTCAACTCGAAGGCAACACCACGGCTGAGGTCCAAATTTCTATCCAATTCTTCAGCAAAGCATTGCATTCAGACCCGGGGGCCAAATTGATTGACAGTAGGTACTTGGGAACTAAGCCCCTTAATTTTGCTAACCCGCCTAATCCCCACCCCCGCTCCAAACTCCCGGGTCAGTGATAAACTGCATCCACCTCGCACTCATGCCCGAATCTTGACTGAGCTTCGTAAACCCGAGCCCCTTATCTAAGGAACCGCTTCGATGATGTGCCGAAATGCGCGACGAGATCGGGACAGCGCAGTCACCAGTGCGCTCCTGATGCTTTCGGATGTATGGTCTGTCCATGTGAGGTCCAGGTGACGGATCAATCTAGCCGAGTCTAGCCTTGGTTTTTGACTTACGGGGTGTTAATGTTTGTGCCGGACTACAAGTTTGCGGTTTACTCTCTCGCAACTCGGACTGCGCCAAAGTTTGGGTTATAAGTGTTGAAGCTATGGACAAACTCGTGCCTTTGTGGAACGGAACTGCCATACCCTGGACCCTACACAACGAGTGCTCCAATCCACTTGGAAACCCGAGCTCGAGCTCGTCGCCAACCTAACACCGAGGACGAGTTCTGCCAACAAGCCTTAAGCTGCGAGCCACGCAAGAAAGCATGGATTGGTCTTGAGTGGGGGAACTAAGCCTGCAGGCTCGGGATTTGGGGCTTAAGGTCAAGTGAACCAACCCCTTGGAGGTTTCTGCGCCACTCCCAAACGGAGTCCGCAGGATGGACGTTGGACAAGCATGTTCGACCGTCGTCAAGGAACGGTCTTTACAACCTGGCTTAGCTCGGCTAAACTCTACCCTCAGCCCTAGGCCGAGCAGGCCGCAGAACCGCTTTGTAAAACCATGGAGCAGCATTTCTGCAAGCGAGGCTCCAGGAAAGAAGATCCGCCTCTCAGAGAACAGCTTTTATGAAGGATTGCCTATCTCCATTGCCACGACCACTACCGTTACGGTGCTGCTTTCCTCCTTGCCGGAAGGCTTGGGTTACCGGGTCTTGGAGTCTGGAGTTTCGGACTTTGTGGCTTACTGGGCGAGTTGCAAGCCCGAAACCTGCAAGACCTCATGGCCCATCTAGACCTCCACAAAGCCTAACGCTCTCATCAGGGATTAGCAGGCGGCCGCTAACTTTATGGTATCTGATAGAGGGCATATGACGAGTACACAGACTGAACTCCCTGCAAACCCCACAAGCGCAGGGGAGCGACGTAAAATTGAGGACGCGTGGAGGCCCCCGCTGTAGCGTGCAAGATTCCAGATATCGCGTCAGGTGCAGTCTTTCGGTTACAGTCAGTGATCTACTGTTCGTCACGCTGTCCCATGCAAGTGGTTCTTGCCATAATGGCCTAGCTAGCAGACGACAATCCTTTTCTTCAAAGTTTACCCCCTCCAGCAACTTCACGAGAAATTGTATACAGCTTGACCAGCTCATCACACGGATAACGCGAACTGCCTGGACCCTGAGCTTGGGACCTTCAATCCAGCTCTCTGCATCTCATCGAACCAGCTCTGTGCACCGTCCGCATCACGCCTTTGCCCGTGCCTTGGGTCGCAGCTAGCTTTGTGCAATGACAGCTTTTTGGTTCTTGCAGTGCATTCTTGCCGACCATAGCCAGCTTCCTGGCACCAAGCTGCATCTGTCTCTGAGTGGCTTCGTCGGTTTGGGGTCTGCAGATTGCCAGGACTCCAGGACAGCGCACTGGCGACGAGATAGCAACACTGTGCTTAGACCTACTTCTACCTGCTCTGCACAGGACAAAAACAACAACCACCATCCCTCGAAAGGAAGGCCCACTGAGGTTGGCCGGGGAGCGCGGCAATCACGGAAGTGAATCCTGCCACGTATCGGTGTTTGCTTGCTGGGGCCATGGCTCAAAAGATTGAAGCTAGGATAGGGCCTCGGCGTTCTAACGACTCACAGCTGCTGCATGCCGGCCCACTTTCTTTGGTCCTTGTCGTCCCGGGTCCAGCGTCTGCGAAACCATCCACTGTGCCCACTGACCTGCTGCGATCATCAAGAAGAGGCCCGTGTGCATTTTGGGCTTTGGAAGGTATTTTGCAAGTGGTTCCCGCCGTTATCCGTTACCGGTGGCGGCGGCGGTGCTGTTGCTGCTGCTGTCGTCTTGGATGGCGGTGTCAGCTGCCACTAAGATCTTCATCTCGTCAGTCACAAGTATTATCGGCATCAGCGATCTGCTTCACCACAACCGTGGTTACCACAAGATTAGCGCTGGCATGCCGACAAACCACTCATAATAAAATATGCTCATGGCACTGGTCGTACCAGCCAGTATTACATGATATTATCCCCTTGTGGTGGTTTTCAAAAGCTGAACAGGAGTCACAACAGTACTCCAACTTTCACCACCAATCTGTCGAAATGACAAACACAATAAATGACAGGACATGCCATCAAATGCTTACCACGACGGACTGACATGGCAGCGACATCAACCAAGGCGATCCGCGACTCGACTCCGATGCCTGCGCGTGCCGCATTGCTCGACCGTCCACAGGCCCGCAAGATCTGTCGTGCCAGGGACGCTTTGGGTTCTGCTTCTGAAGGCCTAGGGTTTGGACTGCTTTGGGGTTCGCAAGAAGAGATGCGAGTCGCGGTTTAGGGCTCGCGTGGTTGCGAGTGGTTGCGGCGTCAACATGTCTGGCAACAGTTAAGTTCAAATCAACCTTGTATAGCTTCCAGACTCGGGCCGTGTTGTGTTCATCACCTAAACATAGCCAAGCAGCACAGCAGCATGAACGTGACTTGCCGAATGGGCTAGCAGCAGTGGGCTTGAAGGAGGTCGGAAAGAGTATCCAGAAAGCCGAGCTAATGCCGATGTGTACCCATTGTCCTGAAAGGGCCCCTTTCAACCAAGATCCTTTACGGGGTGTCGGCTTTGCTGTGTGTCGCTGAAGCTCGCAGTTCGGTGGTTGCGGCAATTTGGCCCTTCGGTCGACTGGCCCTTTGCGTTCAAGGGCCTCCAAGCTCTTGGTATCCATACAGAGGAACTGAGGTTCTCAGCTTATCCCAAACTGATGGGTTCGTTTCACAACACTGACTAGGATATCGAAGGTACCTTCGGAAGGAAAAAGCAAAATCCAGGGGAAGCTTAGCTGTCTCTCATGTATCGCTGTAGCATCTTCGTCATTCTGTATACACGCCAGCAAAACCATTGCGACTTATCACTGAAGTCTGGGTTAACAATCAGAAGCAGCGTCTCATGCGCAGCTGCTGCCTGCCGCAGCAAACCTTCGTCTTCCGCTTTGCAGACACCTAAGCCAACACGCGGCCTACAAGGCTTATGGAGACAAGTTATTGGGGACCGATTCTGCACAGATGCCGCCTTGCCGGTGGCCCCACAGGAAGCAACAAAACTTGGCGGTGCCAATTACACTTCCACGGGCCACGCCGCGTGGCTACGCCACCATTGCTAAGGCCAGTCTACATTCCCCCTTTGTAGACCTCTCCGAACCTTCGACCAAGGCCTGGGATTCGTAAGTTTTAGAGCTTGTGGGCTCGTAGGCAGGAGTAACTGGATCCCTGTAATGCCTGTAGGCAAAATACCTTGACAGAATATCAGATGGTCCTAAAGCGTCGCGTAAATAAGTTAAGACAAGACTGAATACAGCGTCATGGCAATAGGCTGCGCCGCCTTCTGCACCAAGCAGCTCCCAACACCTGCGCAGTGTCCAACTGGGGCCCTTGAGAGCTTTCGGTTTTTGGCCACATATGGTTTCGGATCCCTGCATTACCTTGGTGTTTTGGCCGAACCAGCATGAAAACCTAACATGAGTCCTCGTATTGCCTCGCACTTCAAGAATTACATTTGCTAAGTCGTTACATCCGTCTCGTTGACCCTGGCACACCCATGCCTTGCGCGGCTCTTCTCAGCACGGGCGACGTCGCCGGCAGCTGCTGCAGCCGCAGACAAAGCCGTGAAAGCGACAGGGGTCGGAGAACCTCCTGCAGCCAAAAGCCACTCCTCGGTGTTCAGGATCTCGGGACATTTAGTGGAACGCGCGCTGTCGAGCTGACTCGCCAACACCCTGTGAACCTGGAGACCAGAACCGAAAACACTGCCTGCATCCCGATTCCCACGCCCCGACCCTTGCTATTGCTGTCGTGAGAAATAAACGAAAAATAAACGTCTCAGTCAGGCAGCAAACCACGCTTCTGCCTTCTCCTCAGGATCTGTTACGATTCATCGATTGAAGACTGGGCTTAAGAGCTGTTGACCGAAGCTCATCAAGGGTTGTCGAAGTTGGGTAAAACCTTCTGTCCAAGGGTAAAAGGAGGGACCCTTAATAAGGACCCCTAGGTATATACCCTTAATATAGCTATTATATAGCCCATTATAGGGTAGGGGTCCCCATTAAGGGTCCCTCCTTTTCCCCTTTGATTCTGCAAGTTCAAGCACCTGGACCTAAGCAAGCTCACCTCCCTGCACTCTGAGCACTTCAGGGCCGGGGCTGGGCAAGATTCGCCGAGAGTCCGCATCATTGTCGGCGTCCTTCACAGAACTGTGTGCATTTTCAGCTTTAGCTCTGCGGTCTCCATATATTATAATTAACACCTCGTGATCTGGAGATGTTTCCGGGGACATGGACCCAATGCCGCCAAAATGCCATAGCGGCTGACACTGCGCTCAGCAAAACACGAAAACTTGAACAGCCTGCAACTGCCCCCAACCCCCATTCCCCAGTTACAATGAGGCTCGCCACTCCTGAAATCAAATTCCACAACAGACAATGACGGCACCATCCGGTTCGCTCTTATGTGGGCAAAGGCATCGACACAGTTGCACGCGCCCTTCTTTCCTACTCCTAGGTTGGCCAACATCTGCAAGACGACTCAGCAGCCAGCAGCCTGCAGTAGGGTTGTGAAGGTCACCTCAGCAACTGGAATACCAAGTGAAGCAGACACTCTGCGAACATCCTGAGAAGATTTCGGGTCTACGCACAGACGAGAAAAGCAACTCAAAGAGGACCCCGAGCCCAACTCAGCCTCGTGGAGCTGTCGGTACGATCGCTTTTTGCGTTGTCCCCAGTCTCACTCGCGGAGGGTGCTATTGGGGAATTTTGCGTTCACAGAAATACACCAACCCAAACTTAGCATCCGAACGAAGAACTCAAACAAAAAGACAGCCACTGACTGCATAGGCATAGCCGGTGAGGTCATCTCATACTCAAAAGCTCAAAGATAGTTGTGCGCGTAGCAGGCCCTTCTCCTTCAACATACGGGTTTACAGTGTGTGTATATATATCTTCTTTCTTCGTAGCGTTCAGGGTCCAGAGGACGCACGCCTAGCAATGAATTCAGGGTTGAAGCAGTGTGCACTCGCCCGGAATAAACCCGAGCGGAGCAGAAATCTGCAGAAGAGGAAGCATGCCAAGATGGAACCAGCATGTACAAAAGCTGTCGCGGCCATGCACATCTCTTCAAAAAGTCAAAACTAGAGCCATCAAGGGACAGCCGCTGCCGGCATTGATGGGGACATGCCATACACAATTTACAATTGCCTGGCACTCGGACTGAAAGCAAAAACGCTACCTAACGCACCCAACCGGGCTCGATTGAGGTTCTACTTGTCACCGTAGAACCTTTCACAACCGGCAACCGAACAAAAACAGTACTATCTTGAGCATTCCTCCGGGGGCCGGGGGAGGCAAACTACAAGACAAAGCCTTTCAACGCCCCACAAGGTGGTTTCATTCAAACCACGTCCCACTCGAAACATGCGTGCCATGTACAACGCATTCACACTTGAACCCTGAGCTTATTCCTCCAGGGAACAGGGGAGGCCAACTACAGGGTAGGTCCCTCACAATGGAAAATTAAACATCACTGTGCCCTCTCAGACGTGCCGCTGCATACAGTGACCGCGTATATACACACCAACACGTGTGAGGTCCGAGTCTAACGAAAGCGAAGCGCCCAACAAACCCGTCGACATGCCGCAGAACTCCAGGACCTGGTCTACCGGGCTGCGGGGGCTGCGGAGCCAGATGTCAAGGCGCTCGCCTATCGTAATTATCGTAAAAGCAACGTTAGTGCCTTCAATCTTGCACTCATAGTGCCGCATGTCACGATCGTACTTACCATCGCCAGGGGTCGATTCCTTCTGGAGGTTGTCATCCGAAAGAGTACGGCCGCCCTCAAACTGCTTGCCAGCAAATATCAGGTGCCGCTGGTCGGGCGGGATGCCTGCCTTATCTTGGGACTTAGCCTTGACGTTGTCGAACTTGTCACTGGCCTCAACGTCCAAGGTCTTGACAAAGATCTGCATGCCGCCTCGCAAGTGCGGCGCCAAGTGAGGGGTCGATTCCACCTGGAGGTTGTAATCCGAAAGAATACGCCGACCCTCAAACTGCTTGCCAGCAAAGATCAGGTGCTGCTCGTCCTCAACGTCCAAGGTGAGCATCAGGGTCTTGACAAGGACCTGGATGCCGCCAGGGGTCGATTCCTTCTGGAGGTTGTCATCCGAAAGAGTACGGCCGCCCTCAAACTGCTTGCCAGCAAAGATCAGGTGCTGCTGGTTTGGCGGGATGCCTGCCTTATCTTGGGACTTAGCCTTGACTTTGTCGAACTTGTCACTGGCCTCAACGTCCAAGGTCTTGACAAAGATCTGCATGCCGCCTCGCAAGTGCGGCGCCAGGTGAAGGCGTGCCCTCCATGGGCACTGGGGCTAACGATAGTTCCGCGCTGCTGCGGCGATTCGAGCCCTGTGTATATATATATATATATATACACACATACACATACACATGTATGGTGTGTGTGAATGTATGTATGCATGCACGTACGTACACATGTAGGTATGTCTATTCCATCTAAGACCTGAATAGCCCGGCAGAGGGACCTCCCGAAATCCGAGTCTTAGATGGGCTCAAAGCTGACTCGTGCGTCTTGCTACACAGCTCTTGCACAAAACAAGGGCTGAACTTCTTGTCTAGGCGGAGCCCCTCGGCTCTTGGACAGGCAAAACTAAGCCACCCCGACAACACATTTATGCTGCAACTACACCTTCTAGACCCTGAAACACTTGTCATCACAGCATCTTTCCATTTCTGAAGCAGCAACGTCCACACCCTTATCGTGACTGTATTGCCATCACAACTAATTGCAGACTAGTGGCATCGTCGGGGTGCAGCCCGTCGCCACGCAAGGCAGCAACGAAGTCGGCTGCAGATTCCGCCGCGCCAGCGCATACCTCGGACACGAGGCTTGGGAGGTCTAGGTTGACTCTCACGCTCTCGCGGTTTTCGACCGTCAAGCTTGCACGCAGCAGGCATTGCTCCACACAGTCCACGCTCTCGCGGTTTAGGGTTGAGGGCTGTGCACGGATTTTGCTTTAATACTGCTTAGGGCTTAGGGTCTTCATAGGGTTCGGGCTTGGAGATTCAGTGCGGACACTCCCTGCCAAGCTTAAAGTTTGCAGCCCTCCGATCACACAGGCAGCTTGCCAATCTAAGGGGCGCAGGCCAGAATGGCCGCATTGTAACTGATCATGTCCGGCGGGATGCGGGAGCTGGACATGCCTCACCGGCTCTTCAGGGTGAAATCTCTCGGGAGTCGTCGCGAGATGGGAGAGCTCCCTTGTCTTCAGGCAGGGTTGACGGGTGAGTGGTTTGCCTGCTTTCGGCTTCGCAAAGCTTCAGAACTGGCGCATGCATTGCGATTTGAAGGTTCGTCGGGTGTACTGAATGGAAATCCTCTCAGTGCAGTAGGTCTTGTGCAAGATCCTTATCTGTTGGACCGGATTTTTTGAGGGTGCTCTATGCGGCTTGTGCTGTAATTTTGTGTCATTTACGTGGAGCTGCGTTCCGTAGCCAGGGCCTTGCTCCGGACCCCTCCATGAAAACCATGTATTTCCCGTGGTAGAATCTCTTCAATCAGTCACATGCTCTCCGAAGCAACTTTGCAGGTACGAGCTGTCATCGTCAATGTGCTCGATGTCGCTGGAGCAGCGGCATAAGCAGAGGCAGTCACGATAGTAAAAGGCAGCCGCAAACCGTAGCTCATTATGTAAGCCCTAACGCCCAAAACTTGACGAGCACGATCAGCGCAGATTTCTGGTTCGGGGTGCTCTTCGGGTGTGCGCCGCGGAATTCGCAGCCATGAAGTTGCAATACACCCAGAATTTCGGAATGCAACAACCTGCTCCAACACGGAAGAAACAAACCCATGCAGAACCCCAAAACCCAACAATGGCCTGTTTGGGTGCGCAGGGCCTAGTTCTAAGAGTCTTAGTAACTTGGGCTTTGAGGCTTAGGAGTAGCAGTTCGAGTAGACTGCCATGGCCGAAGGTGTTGTCGGGATTTTTGGGCTTATCAAGTTCTTCAACCCTGAGCGGAAGGTGGAGCTGGTCCGGTGAGCTACTCCTTATTTTGGGACCCATATAACAAAGATCCTCTTAGTTAGGGTACTCTATTAGGCTGCCGTTTGAGCTGCTTTGAAGCATCCGGGAGCTCAGCTCGATGCTGGCATCGCCTTGGCCGGATCGCGCGGCGGCATCGAGGACCTGGGCGTCATCGATTGGACTTTGCAGGCTTGGGCAAAGAACATATAACAGCCTGTGCTCCGAACCCCCCTTTTCTGCAGACTCGAAATCAATGGGGCTTGAGTTGTTTGTGTACTGCGTGGCGACTTTTGGCTTCTTAGCTTGGCCCGCCAAGCCCCAACGCGAGCGCCTCATGTGACACTTGTGTTCTTCTAACAGCGACTCTGGCTCAGCATCATGTATCTAAGCCCTGCCTGCCCTAAGCCATAAACTTAGACGAACCCCCCCGACGCTAGTACTACGAGTGTCTCCCGCTGTTCTCAGGTCGGGACCGAGTTGAAGCTCACGCGATCGGGAGACATCCTGGGAAAGGGTGGATGTCGGCTTCGTCGGCTTTACAGCTGGCTGGAGAAGTGTCAGAAGACCCCGGAAAGCAGCTCTTCTACGGAATGAGGCGCTTTGCTGACTGATCAGTGGGTGTTATCAGCCGCAAAGCCTTCCCAAGAACCCCCAAATGAGGCGAAGCACTCATGTTGGAGCATGCTTCTGAGCCAGCCCTCTGCGTCGTCTTGTCTGCCCTCCTTCGCGCAGCTGTTGATGACCTTGATATTTGCACACTGCTTGGGCAGTGTCTACAGTGGGGCAGATCGAAAGGTGGGCAAAATGCACCCATCGCCGTTCGAACTTACGAAACGTTCTGCAATGTACACTGCTGCACTTCAGGTTGGAACTCACCACTTCCCCTATCCATGGGTCCATGAATCCAACTCCGTGGACCTTAGCCAAGCCAACCCTGATACACAGTCGCGAGGCTGGAAGACCTGTCTCAACTTTTCTGCGGCCATCTCCCTGCTGAGGCCGGGCCCGACTCCCTATCTTGAGTCCTGGAAGGTTCCCTGAAGCCTCGGGTGAAATCCGAGTCAACCGCCGAGTTGTACATCACCACATCTGGCCGAAGGCGCGCCTTGCAAGCTGTAGGGCCGGACGAGGGTTTCTGCTGTCATTCAGCTTTGCGGATTTAGATGGCTTTAGCGATGTTGCCATTCCGAGTCCAAAAAGAAGCCGGAACGCGCAAAGCCCGAAGGGTTCAGGGGCTGGGCTAGGACTCGACAGTCTTCAGCTCAAGCCACAGTGACTGCATTTCGTGAAAGCCCCCTTGCAACCCTGTAAATCTGTAGCGTACCACCCGGATACAACCAGGTACTACTGCAACCGCTTTCCAAGCCTTGTTCTGTCTTGTTCTTTCGCTGTTCGGATATGCCCCGATGACTTGTCCAGACCTTCGGCTCCTGAAGACTCAGTGTAGTGTGTTCCAAGGTCTCCGGGTTAGCCGTCATCCTGCCAACAAGAACAAGACATGGCGTCCTAGAAGTGGCACCCCACGGCGATAGCATTATGGCAGTCTGGCAGCAGTATCGCAAGTAATGACAACCACACCCCCAAAATTGGTGCCTCAGAACAGCGACGTAAGGGACCCGAAAAGGACCACCGGCAAGGATCCCCAAAGTTTACAGGTTTGCGCCTCTTGGCAAACGGAAACTTTGACCAGTGAGGCTTTACGGCTTTACCCGAAATCCGACTTCGCAGCTCTAGGAGTTCGAGGTGTAGGAACCCCCATACCCCCATACTCTCAAGTCTCAACACAAAGAGGATGGCGCGGTTCACTGTGGCCTCCAGCGCGAGTCCGAACCATTTCCGCGCTTGGCTGCCCATGCCAGCTTTTGCGAAGGCATCCACCACCTCGACCCGAACGCAACGGAATGCAAGGTTGAGGAGGGTGGAAGCTCGGGGAATGGGCCATGCGCTCTTTTTTCATAAAAACATGCATAATCCTCGACAGGCATTTGAAGCAATGTCCCCTCTGCAAGGAACGTCTTGCTCTCTCGTTTTCGCTCTCTCAGCTCTCGGTCTGTGTGACTCTGTGTGACTCTGTGTGACTCTGTGTGACTCTGTGTGACTCTGTGTGACTCTGTGTGACTCTGCCTGACTCTGCCTGACTCTGCCTCTCTCTGTCTCTCTCTCTCTCTCTCTCTCTCTCTCTCTCTCTCTCTCTCTCTCTCTCTCTCTCTCTCTCTCTCTCTCTCTCTCTCTCTCTCTCCCCCCCCCCCATCTGATATCCTCTTCATCATCTTGGCACACGCACGCCAGCGACCACCCGGGTCAGTGCATGTTTCGAACTCTTGGACAGAACGCACAATGGCGGACACCGTGAATTCATCTTGCGTCTGAGGGCAACAGGCTCTGAGCGTGAATGCAAAGCTGGAAAACGAGCAAATACACACGAAACACCACCTTGAAATCGGCTTTATGGAAGACGCGAAAGCTCGCAAATATCGGCATGACGTCATCAAACATGTCAACAACCGAGTGGCCAATGCTGCGCCACGTACCTTCTTCTTATCATTTTCTGCGTCGACTTCTATATCAACAATCACTAGTAAGGCCGGACCTGCATGACACCCCTTCAGTCGCCATGCGCCCGCCCGAGCAGCTCGATAGGTGCGACAGCATTCTGTGCGAAGGGCTTTCACTGCACAACAACACATTCCGCCTTTCTGCTCCTCTCTGCTTACTCTGGATCTACGTACTCCAGAGACCCCACGACAGCCGACTTCCAGATTGACTCTCTGTCGAATCACCCTGCCGAACTCAAACATCTGATTGAAGCACTTTGTTGGGCAGGGTGTTGCTTCGACCGTGCCTGTTCCGTGATATGGAATGTGTCATGCGACTGCTGTCCAAGTGGCGGCCGAATATCCAACCAGTCCCACATCCTTCAAGAATGGGAGCACTACAGTAGTTGCTGCGTAAGTTTGCATAAACAGTGAATGGTGCCAGGACTGATTGGCTCGTCTGGAGGACTCGTTCTGTGGGGTCCTCAAGTCTCTCGAGGGTTACATCCCGGCCAAAGCAATTTGTAGCACTCCGAGCTCCGAGAATGTAGCAACGTAGAAGGTTCAGACCACACCAACTCTTTCCCGGAGGTTACATCAAAAAGCTCAACACCTGCCAAAGCCCGTGCTCTATGAAGCTGGGATGGAAGGCGGCATGACGATGCTAGCAACACGCGGGGAGATGGTGGAGGTGATCGTCGTCGTGGTTACAGCATGTTCCTCATCTATTCGCTATTCGCTTCAAGGAAGCTGAGTGGTGCGCCCTGTCAGCAAAGCCAAAAGGGTAATCGCACCCAGGGACGTGATCGCACAGCAATAAACCCTTTAGCCGAAGCATCGAGGATGTGTTTGGACTTGCTAATTTGACCTTTCTACTGCTACCATTTCGCCTACCTGTCGAGAAATTCGCTGGCAGCAGAGGCTCCATGCTCTCCAGCAAGAACTTCTCCAGCAAGGCCTGCATTGACGGCGCAACGGGGTTTCACCGCCTGGTTCAACAAACGCTTAGATTTAAAATTCATGAACATGTTTTTTCATGACAAAACATGCTTAGATTTTACAGTATTTTAGAGTTATGAACCTGACACAGCTCCAACCGATCATCCGACCTCGGCTTCCGCTGCTCCTTTCGGCTTCGCGCTGGCGGCTCCTCAGCAAAGGCTTCAGAGGCTGTTGCATTTTAGTTTTAGGGGTACCGGTCTCCGAAAAGGGCCTCAATCTGGAGCAAACCCTCCATGTTCACAACTTCAGAACAAATCGTAGGTGTAGCTGTTGTAATGATGGCCCCTGCTTGGATTTCATAGCATAAGGATGCCAGCAAAACCTGAATCCAGCCCACAGGCAAAACTACTGCTGCCATGTCTTCGGATGAGCGAGGCGCGGCTAAAGGCATCCGGCCGAATGGCAGCATCCTTCATCTCCTATGGCGCAGGGATCTTTCAAGCACCGAAGTCGGACGATCGAGGCGAGGATCTTCAAGGGATCTTCAGCTTGCTGGCCCGTGCGTTTTCACTTGAGCTTGTCGGAGTAGAATTCTGTGTACAGAGTGTGGGGCTGAGATTTTGGGCTCAGGATGTCTTCGAGCTCTGGCAACATATACATCCTATCCTACTCCGCACGACCCCGGAATGCCAAATGCAATTCTCTCATCCTGGCGACAGCTCCGCCTTCTAGAGTTGCAGCGGATCTGGTCTTGTACCAGGAGCTTCGAAATTTCGAAAGACTTGTGTGCCATTATCTGTGCACGTGATGCCCACGATGCCTAAATACCTATCTATATGACCATTCATATATATATATATATGTACTAATAAAACTAATAATACGGTTTATCCTTTAATACCCTGTTTTGGGGGCCATCTGGATATGTTGCATGGCCCAAGGACGAGGGATTCGGACCCAGCCCCGAAGCCCAGGTCCTCGAAACAGCTCTGAGCACCCCGGACGTCGCTGCTTCGTGCAAGGGCGTGAAGCCTCGATGGCACGAGTTTGGGCTAGAAATTCTGTAGTTCAGCGCCTAGCACCTGTTGTATATGCATGAATCATGAACCCAAACCTGACTAGGATGTGTCGAAGCATGCAAACCATATTGAGATGAAAATACAGATAGGCATGCAGAAGCAGGTGGGAGCTGACCTGGGCCCTCCTACCTAGCCGCATTCAAAAACAATTTCCTTAGCTCATCACGAAAGGCAAAGGCAAGAACCAAGCAACAAAATCGGCCTGCTCCAAAGTCATAGGAAATCATAAGAACGAGCACCTAAGCAAATCAGAACATACCTCTCTACAAGAACAAAAACTGTTCAGTAAGCGTCTCTGGTGAGGGCTCGGTGGGATCAGTACGAAACAGCTGCAAAGCACAAGGAATGCCTGACCCGAGCAGGGTCGGGAGGCCCTTATTGCTGTTTTCTCCTGCCCCTTTTATAGATAGATATAAACAGATATAGTATGCTGTCACGATCAATTTGATTTTACAAGCATTAGTGTTGAAAAGTGCTGTGCAGTCCTTTTCATTTGGGCTTGGGAAAGCCAAATTTTAGGGACAGCACAGCACTTTTGAAGCTCAGGTGCCCTAAAGTGCTGTACTGTCCCTAAAAGTTGGGTTTGGCAGAGGCCAAATTTAGGGACAGTACAGCACTTTTGAAGCTCCAGTGCCCCAAAGTGCTGTACTGTCCCTAAAATTTGGCTTTCCCAAGCCAAAAGTGCTGTACTGTCCCTAAAAAACCTATCCCCCAGCAACCTGCAGGCGTTCCCAGCCGATAGTCTCTGGAGGATAGGTTTTTTAAGCTTTTTAGGGACAGTACAGCACTTCTGGCTTGGGAAAGCCAAATTTTAGGGACAGTACAGCACTTTTGAAACCCAGGTGCCCTAAAGTGCTGTACTGTCCCTAAAAGTTGGGTTTGGCAGAGGCCAAATTTAAGGCCCTAAAGTGCTGTACTGTCCCTAAAATTTGGCTTTCCCAAGCCAAAAGTGCTGTACTGTCCCTAAAAAACCTATCCCCCAGCAACCTTCAAGCGTTCCCAGCCGATAGTCTCTGGAGGATAGGTTTAAGTTTTTTAGGGACAGTACAGCACTTTTGACTTGGGAAAGCCAAATTTTAGGGACAGTACAGCACTTTTGAAACCCAGGTGCGCTAAAGTGCTGTACTGTCCCTAAAAGTTGGGTTTGGCAGAGGCCAAATTTAGGGACAGTACAGCACTTTTGAAGCTCCAGTGCCCTAAAGTGCTGTACTGTCCCTAATATTTGGGTTTGGAGAAGCAGAATTCAGGGACCATTCTACTCTAAGTTTCTTGCTGGAACCGTGAATGCTGCGGCAAAGATTGTTGGATGTGGACGATCTAATTATTTTCAGTACGAACATGAGTCCGACGTCTCGGCAAACCATGTGGCGCAGGACTGATGCACGATTGCTTCGGGCCGATGTTTTGTGCGCGAGGAGTCGCTGGGTGCCGATTCACAGCTTACCGCTGGAGCATCGAAATCAAAATGGTGCCTGCGATGGCATTTGCAGAGGCAAGGCAGCTCCCCTAGCTATTGTTCCAAAGGAAGTCAAGCATGGTACCTGTGGCTTTCCACATGTTGCCATAGCGAAACCAGTAGGTGAACTGGGCTGAGCGAATCTTCCTTGTGAGGGCCTGGTTGCCTGGAGTGCGATCTGTGTGTTTCAAAAAGCTACGCAAATGTCCCCAAAAGCGGTCGATTATCTGCGTGCCGCTTTTCACACTCAGAAAGTTGCCGTTCGGCAGCTTCACCTTGTACACTTTCGTGTAGTGAGGCTTGATCATATGATAAGGTATTCCAGAGGCTCTAGGGTATTCAATAAGGCATGAGGGTATTCTATATCAGTGCATTCCATATGAAAGGTTTCAAGATACATAGAGAAAGTATTCTACAGGACATCCTACAAGATATTCTATATAGTGTCGTGTAGAGAGTGTCTTATCGGGTATGTGTAATATAGTGCGTGCGGTGTTATATGTGTTCAAGGTATATATACTGTATACATGGACTGTCATATATAGGGCCATAGGGGCATTCTGTGAGGTCTTCTTTGGAGTATTCCAGACGGTCTTCCATGAGGAGTACGATATATAGAGGGTACTATGTGTTCCATAAGGTATTCTGTAGGGTATTCTATGTCGTATTCTGTAAGGTACTTTGGATATTCAAAAGATAAACGGGCTATGACTGAAAGTATATGATAAGGTATTCCAGAAGCTCTAGGGTATTCAATAAGGCATGAGGGTATTCTATATCAGTGCATTCCATATGAAAGGTTTCAAGATACATAGAGAAAGTATTCTACAGGACATCCTATAAGATATTCTATATAGTGTCTTGTATAGAGTGTCCTATAGGGTATGTGTAATATAATGCGTGCGGGGTGTATCATATATAGGTGGTCTTGTATACGGTGTGCGACAGGATATTCAGATGGATTTGTACAAGATATAAAAGTTATGAGAGTGGAATTTTGCAAAGTATTCTAAAATGTAATCTAAAGGGTACTATGTTGGTGAAATACAAGGTGTTGAGCCCTGAAAGTATCGATAGATTTCGTGTTCACGGACATGATCTATAATCTCGATGCGTCTTATATATGGGAGGTGTAGAAATAGGGCCGTCTTTTCATATCGATACTTGTCGTGATACTATGTTATATGGGATGATATATCTTTGCTTTCCTGTTGCGTGTTACCTTCAGAGCCCATACTGCTGCATGCAAAAACCTATACACACACAGAACATGCATGCAAGCTTGCGTTCTTTTGCAACACGAGAAGAAGCCGTACGCGAATTCATGTCGCTTGGAAAACTCAAGGTGTATATGAAAGAAATGCAGAATGTAGGATCTGCGAAATCTTTGGTGCAGTCGCAGCGTATTTAGGCCAGTACCTGGGCAAGGCAGGCGTGGATCTTGGGGGGGGGGGGGGGGGTGAGCACATATATATGTGTGTGTGTGCGTATATATATATATATATATATGTGCATAAGACTCTACTCTATACATATATACACATATATATACATATATGACACATATCATGTTATATTATACCACAGTGCATTATAGTGTAATGTAAATTCTACTGCACAGTGTTTATATACGTATGTAGGTAAGTAGGCAGGCAGGCAGGCAGGCAGGCAGGGGCTGTAGGAACGTAGGCATGTATGTAGGTATTTCCAGTGGAAAGGAAAGGCGGCACATAACGAACAGGATTGGAAGAACTGACAAGTCGTGCTGCAAGCATGCCGCTTCCCAACCCGTGCCTCATTGCTTTAGGATTTAAGGCTCCAGCGTCCCGAGTCGTAGGTTTACGATCGAGGTTTAAGGGTCCCGGATTTCTACCACCCTTGCCGTCTTCTGGCCAACATCAGGTACAGGAAGCGACTTCGATGAAATCCTAATTCAGCTGAGCAATTAACTTGTCTGCAGTTTGTCGTTTTCAGATGTTGCTCGTGGGCGTGTGTCACGGCCACGATTACAGAAATGCAAAATTATGCGTGCTCCGGGGCTACAGAAAATGCTGGCTCCACGTACAGCTCGGTCTAACAGATACCTCAAGCCTCTGCCCTAGAAGAACATCTATGTGGGGCTCTGCCAGCGGGGTCCTGCGAGTGCTTCCAAGTTCCAGCCACGAGACAGGGAGTTGTAGCCTCACTGTCGGCTCCGTTGGGTTTGGGGCTTCTTCCCTGCAGCTTCATATGATTTTTGAATCACTATTGGGCTTCGGTTTCGGTGGTTGATGCTCTGAGAAAAACCGTGTTCCTGGCAACCCTGTGGAAGCATGTTGGGGTTTAGGCTAGATGCGTCGAAAGGCTTAGTTAGATCAGGGATGGGGACGTGCTCTGTTCTTCGTGCTGAACCTCCAAAGAGTTTGGCCGAAAACTGCAGAATGGGAAAAGGCATCTACCCAACGACGATTCGCGAACACAGCTGCAAACTACTGAAGCTCCTACACTTAGACTAGAAAGCATTGAGCTGATATTGACAGCCTAGCAGCTGGTGGCATCCGGAGCCAGCTGTGCTGCACGAATCTCCTCCAGTCTTTGACGAGCCCCAGCCGCGTCGCCACATTGGGCGCAGGCGTGGATGGCAGCATTGTAGCCTCTTTGATAGTGAAAGAGTAAATCCATCATGCATGCATACTTCCTGAAGGATGCTTCTTGTCATCGGCCAGTCTTGGCACCTGGCTTGCCCGCATGACGCAGTCGTCAACTGGATTTTCATTGGCGCAGCTCCGTCTCCATGGTGAAGAACATCACAATAAACTCTAAATCTGATGTGACATAGGTCTTTCCAGATTTGAACTAACTTCCCACCACCGTACTTGGACGAAGGGCTGGAATGCGGGTCTCTTGCAATCATATGTGGCCCACTGCTGGACCCTAGACTGATTTAGGCTGCAGCGCCACAAGCTCCCCAGAAAGCCCCAGGCGGCCCAGGAAGTCTGCAGAAAGCAAGCGCTGGAATTTTCAGCGATGCAACGTCCCTGCCGCATGCGCCAAGCCTACAGCAATTGTAGGATGGACTTCCCTTCAGACTTCTACAATCGCAAGCCCCAGAAGAGCCCATTCCTTGCCCTGCAGCCTTCCGCATAAGCCGTGTTGCAACAGGCCTCGTGTCCAGCACTGCATAAGCCCCAAACCTCAAAACTTCTGACCCTACTACCCAATGGCATCCAAGCAACTCAAAAGGTTGGGTATCAGCCGCCGCTCTTGTGCCTGAAGTTTGGGCGCTGCTACTCGGTCCGAAACACCTATCTCAAAAAGGTCCCTTTCGGGGTAAGGTTTTTGGCAAGCCTTCTTCCAAGCTGTTCATGCTAGGAGGAAGCGGTTTACGCATTCACATGTCGATGTGGATACTTACAGGGCTTATGGTTAGGATCACCATGACATGGCACGCAGAAAGGACAACTGCAACATGGCTGGACTCAGCGGATGTGAGTACGTACATACATGCATGCATGCATACATGGGTAATGCATGCATGTAGAGAGAGTGAGAAAGAGAGAGAGAGAGAGAGAGAGAGCTAGAGCTAGTTTGAATGGCAATTTAGACAATCTGCCGGGAGTGTCCTGCTAAGGCAGTACCTGTGGTTTCTCATGGCTGCCCCAAAGATCTTAAAGACCAAAACCCAGGACCGGAAACGGCAGAGCAACCCCCAAACCCTCAACATTCTCGAGACTGGACTTGCATGACTTGCCTACGTTGACAGTCTGTGGCTCCTCGGTGGCTTAATTAACCCGTCAACCGCTACGAGTCAACCGCTTGCTGGGACCTCCAAGAGCACGTCCGCAGCAGTGTTCTGGTCGCCCAGCTCGCCCAAAGCTGCGAGGAGCCTACACCAATCTCGTCCAGAGCTCGGGCTTAGCAAAGGGTTGTATACATACACCGTGTATGGGAAGAACCAGGTTATGGGTATGTATCGGACGCTGTACTATGAGTTCATGTCGGCTTGAAACCAATGGACATGCATCGGCTCTTGCGTGATAGCGTAGTACACTTCTGACATTGGGGGGTGCAAGTGCAAGGTCGCACATTTCTCTGAAGCTCGACCTATAACGACTCCTCGGAAAGTCCCATTCTACCCCGAAACGTGAAACACTCATTGCTCTACATCTTGCCGTTAGTCGCCGTTGGCCTCTTCGACCCTTCAAACGTTGTGTTCTTAACCTGAGACTCTTCCTTCCTTCCCAAGCCCAGGAGCTCGTTGTAGCTCACGATGTCCGGTGCAAGACCTGGAAATGCGGCATCTCTGCAGACTCACTTCGGGAACTCCGTCGTCGTAGGAATAGGATCAGCGATTACTCGGAAGAACATCAACAGCAGCAGCAATAATTAGCCGCCAGTGGTGTGCGCAAAGCCTTGGAACAACAGCTCAGGGGACCATGTTGGACCCCAGCCAACGAACTGCCCCACTCCTCCGCCAAACCGAGCCCAAAGAAGTGGAATTGTTGGACTATCAACCGCACTTTCAGGTCTCTCTGCATGTGCCCTCCGACACTGCCATCCTGAGCTCTCCCGTCGTGAGCCTCGATGAACCCCCACAAACGTACATAAGACAAAACTGCATATGACTGCATCTGTGAAACCAGACAACATTTGAACCACAATCCAAGCCGAGGTATATGCTATAGAAAAGGCAGTATACCCATAGTATCTACATACATCTACACACATATACAACACCTACAAGACTGTCGACGCCCCAGGCACGATCTCTGAAGGTCTCATCGAAGAGCCACTGCCGGCCAGCAAGGAAGTTCTGGGCCTTGAAGTGGGCCCGAGCCATCCTCGGCGCTGGGCGCTTTGGGTTGTTGGTCTCCTGCCTTGGTTGCTTCTTGTAGCAGCATCAGCAGCAGCAGGAGCAGTCATAGACGGACTGACACCAGCAGGTAGTAGTGGTAGTGGTAGTGGTAGTGGTAGTGGTAGTGGTAGTGGTAGTGGTAGTGGTAGTGGTAGTGGTAGTGGTAGTAGTAGTAGTAGTAGTAGTAGTAGTAGTAGTGGCAGTAGTGGCAGTAGTGGCAGTAGTGGCAGTAATGGCAGTAGTAGTAGTCGTAGTAGTAGTCGTAGTCGTAGTCGTAGTAGTAGTAGTAGTAGTAGTAGTAGTAGTAGTAGTGGCAGTAGTGGCAGTAGTGGCAGTAGTGGCAGTAGTGGCAGTAATGGCAGTAGCAGTAGCAGTAGTAGTAGTAGTAGTAGTAGTAGTAGTAGTAGTAGTAGTGGCAGTAGTGGCAGTAGTGGCAGTAATGGCAGTAATGGCAGTAGCAGTAGTAGTAGTAGTAGTAGTAGTAGTAGTAGTGGCAGGAGTAGTAGTAGTAGTTGTAGTAGTAGTAGTAGTAGTAGTAGGAGTAAAAGTAGCAGCAGCAGCAGCAGCAGCAGCAGCAGCAGCAGTAGTAGTAGTAGTAGTGGTGGCAGTAGTGGCAGTAGTGGCAGTAGTGGCAGTAATGGCAGTAGCAGTAGTAGTAGTAGTAGTAGTAGTAGTAGTAGTAGTAGTAGTAGTAGTAGTAGTAATAGTAGTAGTAGCAGCAGCAGCGGCCGCAGGAGGAGTAGTAGCAGTAGCAGTGGCAGTAGTAGTCGTAGTAGTAGCAGCAGCATCAGGAGCAGTAGCAGCAGCAGTGGCAGTAGCAGTAGCGGTAGCGGTAGCAGTAGCAGTGGCAGTGGCAGTGGCAGTGGCAGTAGTACTAGCAGTAGCAGCAGTAATCATAGTAGTTGTTACCGCCGTCGTCGTCGTCGTAGTAGTAGTAGTAGTAGCAGTTGCAGTCGTCGTAGTGATAGTAGATGCAGTAGTAGCAGCAGCCGTCATCGTCGCAGTAAACGTAGCAGGAGGAGAAGTGGCAACAGCTGCAGCAGTAGCAGTGACCGTAGTAGAAGCAGTAATTAGTAGTTGTAGGAGCATGGCAATGGTAGTGGTAGTACTACGTACAAGTAAAGGTAGAAGTAGTAACAGTCGAAGTCGTAGATTTTCAGTAGTAGTGGATCCTGGCCACCGAGCCGCTATTCGGCGTGCCATCTCTTTAAAAATGACATCTCTATGCGAGGTGCAGGCTGTTCAGTCCGTGACCCGGCTCTTCTTGTTTTGGGGATCGGCACGGTTTAAACATGTGTGCTGCGACTGCTGCTGTGCCCGCACCCAAACCACCCTGAGCAGCCCCACAGATCTTCAAAGTCCCCACCCCCCTCTTTTCACCCCGAGCTTTCAGGCGACCACCCCAGGCTTTAGGTTTGCTTCTCTGTGTTGAAGCCACGGCTCATGTTGTAGTGGTCCACATCGGGGGTGAAGCAGCTGGCCCGGAGTTCGTCGAACCACTTTTTCGTGGTGTGAACATCACCGACCTCGAGGGGCATGCGACAAACGCCATGACGACGTGCAAAACACGGTACGTCTTTTTCTCAATCCGTTGTAAAGGACCGTCATTCTAAACAAATACAGTGATAGACTTGCCTATAATCTCTGTTCTTTTTGCGAGAAAGAAGCTGTCTCCGTTACCCGTCTTCCTTATCTCCATCCTCATCCTTCTCATCCTCCTCGTTAGCATCATGCTCTTTGTTTCTGTGGTTGGTCTTTCTCGTTGTCGTTTTCGTCCTCAGCAGGAAATTGAATTCAATGATCATTCATAGTTAAATTACAGAAAAGATGACGGCATGGTGGTCCTTATAGTTAAACTCAGCCGGCAGCTCGGAGCTCCTGGCTTAGCCCGGCAACGAGCCCAGCGATGCGACTACGGAAACATCAGCCCGCGCACCTGCGCTGCAGCCTCCATGAGCTTGCCGTAGGTCTTGATGTTTGCCTCTACAAGTCAACATGGACTGTCTGCGACAGCTTGTTTCGGCCTGAAGCAAGAAGGCCCCAAAATGAGAAGCATGCGCGGCATGACCCCGGGCTGCCTCCACGCCATCTGACTGCATCTGCTGGAAGAACCGCCTTGGCTTCTCGCTGGAATCGCTGGAAGCGAAATCGAAGCTCGAGACCCTTTTGCATCCAGGCCTATTGCCACTGCCGGGTACCTCTGAAGCAAAGAAACTGAGGGCCAGGCAAATCTGCAGCACTACTGGCTGCAACACTCAGAAAAAACACAAGACATAATGCCTTGTGTGACACCTTGAGACCCTGAATCCTGAAACTCTTCGCCTACAAGTCGAACTATTCTAGTCCTGCAAGCCTGCTTCTTGCACCCTGCCACCAAAACTCCAGAGACCGCTAAACCTCAAACATGAAAAGACGGGCTGCGCATTGAAGCCAAATCCAGAACCGCCAAGGACGGGGCTTTAGGTTCTAGATGGCTCAGGCGGCTGAGATTTCTCAAGCACGGAAGCAAAACACCAAACAGCCTACACCCCTAGTCTCGCACGCTGACCCCAGGAAATCCGGTTCGAGCAGCTCGGCCCTCGCGACATCGCCGGCATGGGCGCAGGCCTCCGAAAATGTGCTCTTTGGGGATATATTAGGGGTTTGTGTGTCTGTGTACCAAAGACTTTCAACATTTATTGCTGAGGGATTTGGGTCTTGGTCCCGGGAGGCTTCGTTTACAAAGGATTGGGTGCTGGCTTCAGGGTGCACGGGTGAACAAAGTTGAGCTTGTGCTTTAAGTTCCCGAACAAACATATTCCCTTCGGGCTTACTGCCTGAAGGTCTCGGATGTTCATTTCGTGCCTCATTGCTATGAACAAATGTTACTGACTTTAAATCCCTCTCTTAAGCTCAGTCCGACGGGGGGCGTGTGTAAGGTGGGTACATGCGCTTTCTTGAATCGTGAACCTTTTTGAAGCATCATTTCGCGAAAGTGCTATAGGGGCTTCAGAGGAACATCTTTGCTGGGCACTGTGTCTTCCAAATTAGGTTACGCTCGATGGCCTTGAGTGTGAGCTGGTTTAGTTCAAGTTCAGAGCCGCATCAAAGTTGCATTTAAACATCCGGTTCCTGCCCCTGTACAGAGATTGAATTCCTTTCAGGAACTAGGGCCTTCGTCACCGCACGTCCCCAAATCACATAGTCCTCCGCCGGCATCATGTGGTCTTATACACCGAAAGCCACAGACATGACTCATCCCCAAAGCCCAATCTAGCCCAGCCTTTAGGAAGTTGTTGTGCAGGAACCGGTCGTTGACCCAACCCTGGTTCCTGTCTGCAGCTGCGGGTTGGTGCGCTATGGCCACGGCACAGGCTCTAGGCTTGCGCCAGCAGGTTTAATTTCTGCCAGAATTGGGAACCCGACACCCCATGTTACTACTTGTATATTTGCTGAGGTATATCTTTTGCGCGCGCTTCGGAACCAACCTACTACGTCTGCAAACGGAATCACAAGCCCAAAACCCCAAATGCGAAAACTCGCAATGCACTCAACCATAAATCCCTAAAGCACGGTAGATTCCCTTTTAAATCTCCTTAGGTCCTTAACCGGTTCAAGGTTCCGGGATGTTTGCGCAAAGCTGGACGGCTGGAAACCGTCTTGGATCTCACAGGGGGCTGGAGAGCGTTTCTTTGGGTGTATGGTGCCGAAAAATTTCGCCTTAGCGACCCGTGCAGGGCCCGCAATTTCGCTTGGCTCCTAAGCCCTGCAACCCTAAGATCTTGCACATCACGGGTTTTGGTCTGTTTTGGACTTTTCTTGTCGGACTAATCGGAGTGGGCGGGGTAGGTGGATAAGGTCATAAGTTAGTGCTTCCTTGTGCTATTGCTGCTTGGGATCGAAGCTTCACCCGAAGGCTCTTTGGAGGAGTATTCGCACTCATCAGAATCTTTTGCCAGATTGGGTCGCAGGAGTTTCTTTGAAAAGCGGCGTCTTGCCACCATCAAAGGCTAGTGCGGCCTGCGACTCTTCTAAGCACGGCTCTCTTTGTTTTGGGTGGACATATACCTGAACGGACAGTCTACGGACGAGTTTACGGTTTTGAGCTTAGTCAGCTTAGTTTGGATTGGGGGGTGGGGTTTGAAGCGCCTCTTCGCCGGGCATGCTCTTGTCGGCTAAGTGATATACTGATCTACTCAACCAACTCTCCCCACCTCACTTCGGTAACGTAGAAATCTAACTATGAACGCACCTGTGCACAACTCAATAATCTGCATGTACTCCGAGTGTAACTCGCAGGGTTTCCTTTTAATATGTTCGGCCCATCTTGGTGCGCCTGCTGGAGCACATGCGTGCTTATGCCGTGCGACCTGGCTTGAACGTCATAAGTTCACGTCCTTTGAGAAGAGGCCGCTCTCACTAGCACGCACACTAACGTACCAGCGACTGCAACAAGCGCACACACGCATGAACACGGAGGCCAGAACCCCCGGCTGCAACAGAACAGCCGGACAACGTCCGGCAGATACTTCACCACTACCACGTCTGTTCCACAAAAGCCTCCGTACGAGCTTCTGGCATTGCCCTCGTTCAGGTTCAGTTTAATGCTGACGCACCCGACATGCCTTCACAAACTTCTAAAAACCCACCACCCCCGATCGAAGTCCGCAAAAACATGTCTTTCTCCGATAGGTCCCTAACCTTAAACTCTCTCTGTCTCTCAAACCTTAAACCACCCAAGATCGACCTTGGGTCGGATCTCGGAGTAGTGGACTTTCGGAGCTCTGCCCCCCTAACATAAAATCGAGCAAGGCTCATGTTGCTGCTTTCTTGGGGTTTCGGGGTACGCAGTTCGCAGTTCCAAGGTCCAGCTCAGGGCTTGGAGATCATGTTTTGACGGTCGAGGGCGGTTCTACAGGGTGCAAGGCCGCTGGGAGGGCGCAACATATACATCCAGCCGAGTGACTGACCGTGGTTCGCGATTCCGAGCTTGTCTGTGGAGACTAGCGTATACTTGTGTAAACTTCGCAGCTGACAAGTTTGACTGGCACAACGCATCAAGCTTCAGAAAAACGGCCTAGACATGTTTCATATCATACACTGCTGCCGACTGTCTCAAACATGGAGCATGGTGGGGGCAGAGCTGGGCAACAGCCTTCGGCTTGTTCACCCGACGAACTATTCATTCGAGAGCTTGGGTCAGCTATGATTTCTTTTCGAGGAAGGGTCTCAGTCTTAGGGTCTCTCGGCCTACGGCGCAAGACAAAGGCAGACCCATCTCCTTGCGACTTCGCCATGCCCTGGATAAGACTTCGCTGCAGGTTCTCCACCCAAAGCTAATCCCTAAAGGCTGCTTTGGTACCTAAGCAAGGTCTAAACCGGGAGCCGAATCGAACGTTTCAACCCATGGACCAGATGAACTACTAGGACAAGTGTTTCTTGATCCGCTGGCACCTCTTTCTTCCGAATCTTCACGCTGAATCCCAGTTGGCCAAGTCCCTGAGCCTAAGCACGGACACCTCTCGCCCCGTAGAACACGTCTGTCCCTTAGACCTCACGAGCATCCACCAACTAGGGAGACCCGGAGCCAAGCCCTCTCTGTGGCCACCGAGCTCCCCCAACTCTCAAACCCATTCTCGAACCCTACCCTGCACACAAAGAACCTGATTACTCCCTGCAGCTCACAGTCTCGCGGCCAGCATCTCTCAGATCTCCTCCTCGAAGCCTTGGCCTGGAAGTCGCGAAGGCTTGAAGGGGCAAACAGCAGGGGATGCTCGGCAAATCGAGACGAGTTGGAGTCTCAGTTCTTTGAGTTCTAGGTCTTGATCTACTGATGTGGACTCTCACCAATTACGCTCGAGGAACCCCATGTTACGGCGTGAAGTGGCATGAAGGAGCCGCCTGTCAATAACTTTGGTAAAAGGCCCTTCTTGCATCGGTTCTTGTCTTGCGGTTTCGGGGTGTCGGCATGTGGTGCTTTCTTGTATGAAGCACACGGATACTTTGTCCTGACCGGCGCAAGGTGTGGTAGTTCGAGGTTGAACCTCACCTGTCTTGTACTGTCAGTGTTGCACGAGGCATCACCGCCATGGTCATCTTCTCAGAGGGGACTGGCCGGGGGGGGGAGTGGTGGTCGTGGTGGAGATCGCTCTGAGCTTGACTTACTTTTATTGCGGCAGGACTACGATGATCACGACGATGCTGACTCTGCTGGGACTGGTGGCGGCAATGTAATGGATGAGATGAAGAAGAAAACAATGAGGGTGGTGAGGGTGATGGTGGTGGTTGCGGGCGTCTTTCGGGATTCTAGCAGCTGGATACATGCTCCTCATGCCGATAACTCTTCCATTCTCTCAGTAAGCAGCCTCCTCGCTTCATGGACATCATCCCAGGTCTGGGGCTGATCTGGCTGAACCTGGAGTTCCAGGAGCTTTTTCGGTGCAAGCAAGGCTTCGTGGGTTGCCAGGTTAGTATTGCAGGCTTGGGGTTGAAAGCGGCTGGCTCCTTAGCAAAGGCGCGTGATATGGGCATCGGCATTGCACACTATCGCTCGCCCCTGCCAAAGCCATGCAAGACCGTGGAAATCGTACAGGCCAAGAACCAACACTCCCAAACCAGTGCCTGCTCCCCACATTGCCCTACACTGATAACGCAAAAATCACAGCCCAACCACAAAACACACGATCCACAAGTAAAGCCCAGCCGCAAGCTCCCTGAGGGGGTCATCGCCGAGGGCGAAAGCCTAGGTGCGAAGGCCAGGGGAACTTTCGGTTTGCGGTATCAGGGACGAAACGGGCTTTCAGGTTTGTCTGTAAAGCCCTGCACCCAAAACCTTAATGAATCAGGCTTGAGCTTTCACAGCACGGACTTCAATCTTGCAACGGGTCGTGGACATGTGTGCATGCATGTGCAAACATGTCCTGTACCCATAGAATGCCATCTACAAGTACAAAGCTAGCCCTGAACTTCAATGCCAAGCCCATCAGGTTGACTTTCCCTTCAGCATGGCTCCACGGAGTTCGCTGGTGCGGGGTTTTGGAAGTAAGCCGGCTGTGTGACTGATGGAATGAACGAATGAATGAATGAATGAATGAATGAGTGGGTCGGAAAGTCAGTCAGGGAGACCCACTACTCAGGAGGCCGGGCAGCATTACATTGCTTGGGTCGGGTGTTCTCAGTGCCAAGCATGTGCCTCATCCACTCTATAGTCGGAATGGAAGAAGTCAAGAGCTTCACAATCCCGCCGTGACCATAAAAAGGCAAAGGACAGGAACTGGCCACCATCGCTTGGAGTCTGCAACCTCGGCATAAGGCGCTGCGCTATCTTCGTGGGTCATTGCGACAACAACCACGATGTGCTGGAGTCTGAAAGAGAACCCAATTCATTAGTCACCGCAATCAAGTCCTGCAGCCCGAATAGGTCTGAGGCTTCTGGTTCGGGTGCGGAGTAGAGGGAGGGCCACGGCAAGGGACAAGAACATCCCATCAGAATGCCGATGCTTCATGCACGTCTGAATGCTCTACACTACATCCACGACGCAAAATACAAGTAGATTGGACTTTCGCAGATGTAAAGTAGGGTTGTACTCTTGTCACGCTAAAGCGACACGGGTAGAATCAACCCGCACCTCCTGCACTCCGAACGTTCAAGCACCTCAGGCGAGTATTTCATCCCGTGTGCATGTGATACATATCTGCTACAGTTGCCGTGATAATAAGACCCGGTTCTCCCGCTACATTCTTTCGTAAATAATAGGGAATCCTCAGGACCAGTATCGGTAATGCCAATTTCCTCAAGGAAGCACAAGGCACAAGTTCCGCTCCGAAGGTCACGGTCCCTTTCGCTACGTTACCCCTGAAACACAGGCCCTGAGCCTGGCCCCTCCGGCCTTGAATCTTACGCGACAAACCCTAAACCCAAGACTTCCACCTGAAACCCTGAAAGCAGTAACCCTAAGCCGCAAAGCCCTTCACGCGGCCAAGCTACGGTGAGACCAGCTCAGGGTCAAGTCCCAAATGTGCGAGCTCTGCTCCTGAGACAGGGAGGGAGGTGCAGCTTTTCGCTTTTGGTTCCAAGTTCCAAGCTTGCAGTCGGCCATCCGGGGATTGGCGTGGTTTTGGGTGCAGGTCTCGCAGCTTAGAAATAAGGGAGTCCAGGCCAGGGTGCCGTCGCCGAGCTCAGAACCATGCTTACGCATCACCTGGAGGAAGTTGCTGAAGTCGATCCTTTGTGGAGGGGCTTGGTCTTGTCTTTGCGGACCTTGAGTCTGCGGGCCGATTCTTCCTTTTCTTCCTTATCCTCATCCTGCCAGTTTTTTGTACAGTAACATGG